GTTTAATGACACAATTTGCTAAATGTCAAGAATTCCAAGCAATCTACTTGAAAAAACAACTGTTAAGTCTGATGATAAAGAAGCAGCTTTCTTCCCAAACTCTTTTTATAGAAATAAAACTTATGACTAGAAATAAAACTTTAGTTACAAGAAATTATAAAAAATAAAACTCTAGCTTTATTTCTTGAAATTCTTGATGGGCAAGGAGGTCCTTCTTTCTCTACTAGTCAATGGCAATAATATTTATAATGTGACTGCCTTCCGTTTAAGGCATTTATGGTCACAACACAGTTTAAAGCATATTCAAACTAAAATGAGTAAGTAAGATATCACAGATATACTTATTTTTATTGCAAGTAACATCTGCATTTCATAATAACTCTAATTGTTCTTTCACATGCATTCAAATCCAAGTGTCCTGTTAAAACTGACTTCTCACTGTTGTTCATACTCTATTTAGTGCTCTAGCTCAATACTTTCCAAATGTTTATGCACAATACAACTCATTCAAATCAAACGTACTTACCAAAAAAAGGCACACAAGGAGGATTAATGGACCTGAGTTTTGCTAAGTATTTCTTATAATGATCCTCACTCAGCTCATAAGCTTCTTCTAAAATCTTCTTCTGGCGACTTGGAATTTGCTAAAAAGAGAGATGAAACAGGTTGTTTGGAAAGAGAAGGTAAAGGTGTAGCCCAGCAAAAACACTCAGAGTAATGGTCTCTCAGTGATAAGATAAGATAAGTAAGTCAGTGACCATGAGGACAGTGGCCCATCATCTCAGGATCATTCTACCTTTTTCTGTCTTTCTTCAGTGACGATAGATTTCTTGCTTCGGAAACCAAGGAAAAACCCTCTCTATTACACCCTGATTGATTCATTTGTTAGGGGATTTACCTTCCTTGCTCCTTCTTCAAAGGACATGCTGCTTACTGAAAAGACAGGCTTTTAGCATAGCTAAGCTGCACTGCATTACATTTCCATACCAAAACCAGAAAACATTTCACTGTACCTCAAATGTGTGATCCAACCTATACACCGCTGCAGAGTTCATAGCGCTGACAATCTCAAGGACACCATTAAAGTTGTTGAGCTCTTGAAAAACTTGCAAGATCTCAATTATCCGGCTCACTACAATTACTCTTTCTTCAAGGTTTTCTGTTTCTACAATGCATCTAAACACAGAAGAACACTTGATTTTGTATTAAAGCACTGATGTGTTTTCCAAAATCAAATATTAAGTCATAACACGAACAAACATGAAGGGTTTATCAAATTACCTGACACAGTTTTGAAAATGTTTAGAGAACAGACATTTGAAAATATTCTAAGAATAAAAAGCTGAGACCATTGTGGTAAAATTCTCGCAGGCAGCATCTAAACATGACTTAAAACTGGAATTCTCCCAGAACAGAATTTTTCACAGTATACTTCTGAATGGACTGTAAGAATACAGAAATGGAGTAGGTGGATATTCAGGAAAGTCACTTACTTTTCAAACCACAAAGTGAGGTTAGTTGTATGCCTTATCATCTTGAGAAGGTTGGGAGAATTAATTTCTTTATCTTCCTTTGTCCACACACTTCCAACTAGTTCAGATGGCTGCACAGCTCTAGAAAAGCAGATGATGTACCAAAAAATGTAATTAAAAGCAGGAAAGAAGGTATTATTTTCCCCAAACCTCTTTATTTCCAGTAAAATTTGGAAATAAATTCTTAAGGTATCACTTCTATAATGTTAGGCTCCCCACATGACTAATTGACTGGTGTTTCTACAGTTCTTTTTTTTAGTGTGTAAATATTTCTTAATTTATGTGACTATTAACCAGCTCTGTTCATCTAAATTAAGAATGAAGTCTACATCTCATTCACCAGAATAAAATGCGTGCTTCTAATGCCTGAAGAACGTCTCACAGACAGCTGGTGAGATCTGACATAGTCCACAATTTGCTTAACAAACCAGGATGTGAAGAAAATTGATTTAATTAATGTTCATACTCCTCAAAAGTTGATCTACTCAGAAAATATCAAAAAGAAACCTGCAGCACAAGGCAATTAACACATGTACTATGCATCAGTCACACGTACTGTATGTTATCTTGGGAAGGATGAGACAAATACTGGTTTTTAGAACTTTTTTTTGGAAAAAATAGCAATTAATATACAGCATTGGTAAAGTCCCTTGACCTACCGTGGGGCTTCACAGCAGGGGCCTGCAGAAACAATTTCATGGTGGAGAATATTTTGTTTTGTGTCATGTGTTTTTCAATGGAGGAACGTTACCTGTAAAAATCTGACTCAAGTAAAGTGAGCTGCCGAGCAATTTCTATTGGATGCAAAGTGAGCAAGTCAAAAGTCTCTGTGTGTCCTGGTTTGCTTATATGCCATTCGATCGCTGGAGGTGGGCTCTCAAAAGTAATGTTGTGACTTGGCCCAATGGCTTGTGCCTGCTTTTTCCGGTTGATTATCTTTGTGATCGATTCAACCCACTTCTTCATTGCTTTGCCTGGCACACAGAGAGAAAATTAGTATTTAGTTACTCTTCATACTGGTTTTCCAAAGAGGTCAGTATAATTTAGAAACCTCTGGATTTAAACTGAAAACCTACTAAATTAATGCAACCAGCTATTCTGTAGAAGTGCGTAAGTGGTGTTTTCACACCAGTCTCAGCGCATTAGAACATACAAAGAATTCCTCCAAAGCCAATGCTGAGCACCCCAAGGTTGCCCAAGCACAATTCAGAACACCCAAATTAGTCTCCTGCTCTGAATCTGTTTTTTCCCTTTCTTTCCTGATTTTAAAATGAATTTATGGGTACTAACCTTCTTTTGCCCAAAATGCACCTCTGTAAACACCCTGAACCTTCTACTTCAGGCAAGAGTACATGCTTACCTCGGATAACACAGAAGGGCAAAAAAGGCTTCTCCCTCTACTGTGGTTAGCATCAAAGCTCAAAATAAAACCCAAAGACCAAATGCCTGTATGGCTCTACACCATAAGAATTTCGTGCATCTGACAGCAAGTTCATTGAAGATTTATCACTAATCCACATTAAACTATATGGCTCATTCTCCCTCTCTTTTCAATTGTTAAATATCCATTAAATACTTCTCTAACATAATATTTTCCTACAAACTGCTCCTGTCTCAGTTTTTCTTAGAAGGGAGCAGGAAAGATCTCTACAATCACAACTTGAAGGTGTCTTACAGGTCTAATATGCACTGTGAAATAACTGGAAAACTCTTGCTTCAAAGAAATAGTAGTTTCCACCATCAAACTTCTACAAAAATTACCTGCGTATAGTTTAAGAGGACAATCAAACCAATTATTCTGTCCTGATAATTACCCAGTTATTATTTTGCATTACTTCAGTCCCTTTATAACAAAACCAATACTTATTTATCAAGATGTAAACAACATTCTTTTTTTTTTCTGAACAGGTTATTCTTTTAATAATAATGTTGGGTTGTTTGGATTTTTTTAAATTAAGGTTTACTTTATTTTTTGTAAAGTTTTTAATAAATAGTCAGTCCTATTTTTCTTTATCTGCTCAGTGAAAGGAAAAGTGATTCCATTCCATACCTTTGAGAAGGCATGCTTTTTGATCAATGCCAGCACTTAAGAAACCATAAGTACCTCTTACTGTTCCTATGAATTCCTCCAAACGTTGCAGAAGATCAGCATCTCTTTCAAAGTCATAGAAATGGTGTTCTACCCAGTGTCGACATACATTTAATACTCTGCAGAAATAAATTAAGCAGTCTACAATACAGTCTATCTTTATCTCTAGCATTTCAAGTAGGTGAGGGCTCGTGGGAACATCAGAATTAGCAGGTGCAATTATTTTACTGTCTGCATTTCATCAGCAACCAGCTACAAGCATTTTTCTACTTCAAATTTTAAGAAGTCAGAGTAATGCTATGGTTCACAAAAATATCAATATCTGAAATGTTCTCAGCCTACATCTTTGTGGCACACTTACGCTGTAGAGCCTTGCAGAAATATGGATTAAAAAAAACAAAGCTAGTGTAAGAAACTCATTTGCACACCAACAGTCTAAAACTCAGCACAAGCCTTTCCCAAGGTTGTTCATGTCATGAATTTAAATTCCCACCAAGTTTTCAAGTAGCAAGGTCCAAATGTCTGAGTGCCCACACATGCTCTCTATCAAAGCACCTATAAGAAAGGCTGCTGGTATGACAAAGCACCACCACATCCGAAAGATGGTACCTCAAAAGACTTCAAGGAAGTCAGTATAGCTCATATTGATACAATACTCACCGTAGCTGCACAGGTTGAATGTACTCTTTCCTAAATCTTTTTAACTCTGCACTAAGAGGCTGGTCTCCATTCTCCATAGCAATACGATCAGCTTCTGTTGGCTCAGGCTCTGGAATTTCAAATCTAGCACAGAAGACAGGCATAAGCGCTAGGCTCCCATTATACGCATCTTGCACACAGCATACACCAATACAATGTTGATTAAAGATAGCTCAAAATTCAGAATGGTTCCACATGTCAGAATCTTACATCTTGGTAAGCACATAGGAAGATTTGGTAGAGTCAGTAATAATACAGATTTCAAAGACAAAACCATGAGATGCTACTGGAGCGACCTGAACAATCCTAAAGCTCCTGGATATAACTTGCACATTTTACTTGCAATCCTTGAAGTTCACAACTTTTTGAAAAGTGCTTGGATTGAATCAAAAGCAACTGGAAAACAAGAATCTTACAAACTCGACTTCAAGTAAAAATTTAAAAAAGGGAAAAAAAAATGGTCTTCATATCAGCAGTATTTTAAACAGCAGCATACCTTTCTATTAGCAGACTCAGCAACTCTTGAGGTTTACAGAAGGATCTATATGTTGTGAGAAAAGTCCGAACAAAGTTGGGATCTAAGACAAAGAATAATTTTATGCTTATGTCAGCAATTACATATTTTTTTAAATAATAAAACAGAATAGAATAACTTTAGAATAACTTAAAGTATCCTTTAAAATTAAGGATACCAGCCTATCAATATAGAGAGATAACGAAAGCCAAAATTGCTTTGGTAACAATTCAGAACCTCTTAAAACAGCAATACAAGCAGAATTTTAAAATCATATTTATTCTGTTGAAAATTCAAAACAATGACTTTTTCTTTCCCTTCAATATTAAAATTGAATTATTTTTCAACAACCTGGAAAATAATAAATAGATTATTTTATTTGTGAGCCATCCAGTAAACAACTTTGGTTTTGACAATGATCAGGACAAAGTAACTCAAAAGACACAGTGAGACAATTTGCATTGGATAGAAATGGCCTTTTTAAGGCAAAAATGTTTTCTGGTACAACTGATAACCACTCATGGTTAAGGCAGGCTAGATATTTTTTCAGCTAATACTGACAGCTATACTTTGAGGTTATATTTGTTTCACTTCAAGAAAATCAACAGATTTCATTTAAATTGACTAATTACATATCAGCTCATTTAAAATATTCAAATGTGTTATAAAAACAAGCAAGCGTTCAAAACAGAAAACCAAAGGGTCTCCCTTAATTACAAAAGCAAAACCATTTGTTTTCAAGTATGAGGAAATGCAGTGGCAGCACGCTTTACATATTAAATGGCTTTGCATATTAAATCCATACACAGATTTTAAAAACAAACCCCAACTGGTAATCTTTCTAATACAGAGTGGCTGAAGAGGAGCACAAAGGACTTGAAGGAGGAGTACCTAGAAGCTGTAACGAGAAAAGAACCACCTGCATTGTTTGACCTAACACTATATTAAGCCACCAGACAAGTTTCCTGGAAAAGGGTTTTTAAGAGCTTTTTAAAAATCCTCCGTAACTATTTACCAGCATCTTGTCCATTTAATGAACATTCTAGCTTGCTTAGATCCTGCTAAGCTCTTCATTTGGGCAACACAGTTCAATGTAACGTGTCACACAGATTAACCCTGTATTGTGTAACACAGCACTTCCTTGCGTTTCTGTTGTACGTCAACTCCCATTTCTTCCGATTCCCATTGGCTATTCTGCTTTACCATCTCTATGTCCTTCATCACTCCATTTTTCTTATCGTAACACCTCTCCAACCTCTCCTTGAAACCGTACAGTCTAAAGTCCTTTTCAACGGCAAAACTGCAAATCCTTTTGAATGAAGAATGTCGTCCCTGTCCCCATCATCCTCATCGCAAAAACACACAATTTTTGTTGTCCTAAAGAACAAGTGTAGAAGTAAGCGCAGTAACTCATGTTTTCACAGCTTGCATTCTGTACACAGCATCCACCCTAAACAGATTTTGTCTACATGAAAAAGAAACCCTCCGTAGCAATTAATATTTTCCAATTACTGCAAGCTCTGAGTCACAGCTACTGTTATTTACAGGTAAGGTCAGTGTTAAAATCCACAATACATATCGAATTTCAAATTAAGTAGATCAGAAAATCAAATCTATCCTTGTTATCTTACTAGCAAACCCTGTAACTCAAAATAGAGTACAATATATGAGCAAGCATTAAAAAAAAGACAACACTAGTTAGTCAGGATGTCTGCTCATGTGATAATTCTCTCTTCAATACAGCCAATCTGAAAGCTAAAAAAGAACAATAACTTGTTCTACATGGATTTATAAATAATCACCCTTGAATTCCTTAAGAAAGGAAACGGACACTATGATGACGCACAAGTACTCTTAACATATCAAAGCTTTAAAAATAGAAGAGCACTGCCCTATAGATAAAATATCGCCACAACTTTCAAATCTTAGTACCACCTAACCCAGCCGCTGTTAAACAAGAATCAGGCAAAGGAGGAGATAATGAATGCAGAAACACATTAAAACAAGTAAAACACACCAGAATATACAAGTAGGGCCAGAACCACAATTTCTAATCAAAGGGCACTTTCTCTCATACAAAAATACATGGAAAGCTGCTTTTGCAGAGGAGATCTCTCCCTGTTTTGCTGCTCCACCGCAGGATGGTTTGGACACTCTGCTGTACCTTGTGGTTGTCAGGGCTGTCTCCCTTGCTTCATTAGAGCTAGGCTACCGGGCTGTCCCTGTTCCACAGCAAAACAAATATTTCAGCTGCTAGGCTTGTTTGTGCACTGCCAGGGAGGTGAGGAAAGAAAAATAAAAGGTCCAACACCCACACCTACAAATGAGATGGGCTGTGCGGATCTGAGACCTGATTTGACTACTGTCTGAACGCAGCCCATATACTCCTCAATATAACTAAACTGTTCTTTGGCTACCTTCAATATATTGGTATCACCTCTACAAATATATCTGTAATTATTCCTTAGAGTGTTTGACCTACAAAGATCAAAACCTAGAGAAGAGTCATAGCTACAGTAAATCACAGAATCACAGAACGTTAGGG